TACAAGGCTAATGGTTTACAGGGGTGACTGTGTACACAGATAGCAGTATATTGGATATTTAGTCTACTCAGGTGTAGGTTTGGTTCTTGTAATGTATTATACAGTAAATGTTAGTAATGTCAGTCTGGGACTGAGCCTCAACCACACAGTGATTAGCTAACTTACAGGTTACAAGGGTTTGGTGTTGTCAAATGAGTTTTAAAGATGGCTAACCAGGCCATTTAGTTTGGACCACTGTTGTCCAAATTATTCAGAACTGCTTTTGCCGTATCATGTTTATATGGAGTTGGCTGTGACCGCGGCAAAAACTTCACTGGATAAACTATTAATGACATAACTTTTGGGCATTTATATAACAGCTTTTAAGCATTCATTTTATGTGAAATGTGCATGTATACACAGCTTGGGAATAAATGAGTATTGTCAGTGTTCGACTTCTACCCTGTCCACTTGGCAGATGCCCAAGTTACATGTGATTGGCCAGGAATTATTTATTCTGATCGCCAGATAAGTTGAGTATTTGTGTTAAATACACCCAATAAATCACCATAACCTGGTTACCTTACAAGCTGCTTGTGTACAAATATACATGAAGGAAAATGAAAAACACTGATAATTTAACAGTTTAGCCTTTTTCTACTTTTCATCCCCATATTCTTTACATGCTTTATTTACCAATTAAATGCATGCAATATATAAGAATGGAGACTTGTCCTGCTGAGAAGAACTCTCCATGTTTTCATGTGACTGTAGCTAATATGTAATTCCATGTATCATGACGAACAACATTTTCACCAAATTGTGTACTTGACACAGCTGATGTTGCTCGATCCCATCTGTCCACTGTCTCCGTCAACTCGGATGTCACTCGGTGTGAAGTGATGGCAGTTGTAGCTCTTGAATGTAATTTCCTGTTTTTATTTCAGGTCGCCCCATGCATTGTCAGGCTTTTATGACATTGTTTTTCATTTCTGATCCATCCTGAACTGTTTTTGCAGTTTAGACCAGACACTCAGCAAAGCTATGCTCTAGAGGAGGAAGGCCATTTGTGAACCATGTTTGGGTTTCATAATCCCTTGTGGATGAATTTTCACAGTAAATAATAAATAGTGAACTCTGAACATGCAGCTTTATATGTCATATAACATATTTATTTATTACTCAAATCCACAAGTGTCCCCTTTCAAACTGCCATACTACTTAAACAAGGAAGAAAAATAATCTTAACCTTCATAAAATTCACAAACATTACTAACTAGATTTTAATTTTCAATTCCATATATATAAAATTTAAAATAGAATTAATATATATCTAAAATGTCTGAAGCTTGCAAGGTGACCTGAAGCTTCAGTACACCAAGATATTAGTGAAGTGATTCTAATAGGTTACCATTATGAGGAATAGACAGTTTATCCTTTTGTTAAATAACAAACACGTCTTACGGATATCTGCAAAATACTTTTTTTATATGTTTAAGGAAGATTGTATCCCATTAGCAATCATTGTTTTAAAACGTGTTGAGTCAGAGCTAAACAGTTTATTCTGTTAGATGTTTTAGTTTACGCAACAGGAGCTACACGTATGAAAGGACCTTTGGACGTAATAGGCCATTACTCATGGTCCATCAACACAGTTCACTCCAGAGTTTTAGTGTGGAAGGACACCTGTATGGTGTAAAATGTGTCGCCCTCGTGTTAGTGTGTGTAGTCACATGATGTGGTCCAATGTCCTGGCCCGTCTCGCCTCCATATATCCCCCAGCAGCAGCATCATCTCCCTCACCTCCATCACCTACGCTGTTGTCAAATGTTTGTTGTCTTCTTTCGCTGTAAGCAAATACACATAGCCTGCCCATTTTGTTACCAGTGTTGACAAGACAATTTGTACCACGTTGGGTGCTAATGCTGCAGGTATTTTTGTCACTTCATACATTTGTGAAATTGATTTTTTAATTTTCTCAATATTTGATGAATTAGATGTTTTTACAGAGTTTTATTGTGGGTTTATTGCTGATAAATCCTTTAATTCCCAATAGATAATTTCTTATTGCAATGCTTAGCAGTTGAATACACTTTAAATTGCAACATTTAGAACATTTTCAATAGTGAACAGATTATATGACCATGATAACTGTAATTGAAATATTATCCCACAGCTTAAATGTGGCAGTACAATCTGACCACTGTTAATAGCACGGCATGATTTTCAAGACACATATCTCGTAGTGAGGAGGTAAATCCCGAACATTAAAAATTAAATTAATGCTAATAATAGTGGTAATTGCTCATTATCAGAGTTTCTTTAAGATAAGACAGAAGATGACTGAACATTAAATGCGAAAAAATGGTTTCCGAACAAAGGAAAATGTAAGGTAGTGAATTGTAAAGACTCTTATCGTGATGGGTAGTAGCTCATTGCGATCATTTAGTGTAATTGTGAATGATTTGACTCGACATGTTTTTATGTAAACAATCAGTCGGACACACAATGCAGTAAAGCGCGGTTATAACATACTCCAAGTTACCACTAATTTGAGGTAATAACGCGGTTATAACATACTCCAAGTTACCACTAATTTGAGGTAATAACGCTGTTATAACATACTCCAAGTTACCACTAATTTGAGTTTATTTCTGTATTTCATTATAGTCGTTTCGACTAAAGCATATAGCAAGTCAAAAGGAAAAACGCTATATGTGTCTATTTGTTATGTGTGTTTGTTGTAACTGTTCTTTATAAGAGGTTCGAAGGAGTGGGGCTACTGAGCCTTGTGGTTAAAGCGTTTGCTCATCACTCCGAGACCCAGGTTTGATTCCCCACATGGGTACATTGTGTGAAGCCCGTTTCTGGTATGACACACCGGAATATTGCTGGAATATGTAGCTAATCCCGGATTCAAACCCACAGGCAGGAGATCCAAGCACATCTAAGGGGAAGTTACTCTGTACCATGATTTCAAGTGTCTCGAATACACATATCAGCTAGTTGCCATATCACCAGCTTGTATCTCATCATGGTGATGAATCTCTAATAGTCAGGTAAAGCTTCCAAATTGAACTAATATCATTGTCACATTAAATGCTTCAACTGCTAGGAAATGGTTTGTTCATTCTATCTCACCACAAGTATTAAGTTGATACGTTAAGCTTGGTAACTTCCTGACATGGGTGTTGACGTACCTAAATCCTTCACCATTGTTCACTGTGGTGACTCAGTGATGTCCGCCAACCAACTTTAAAGGGGCAACACATCCAAAACATCAAATATATATATTTTCAGAATTACTTCATACCATTTACTCTGGCTCCTACAACAGCAGAATGTTTGATTCATTTGCACACACAGACCACATACTACCTGGGTAATATACTGAGACATTTAGAGACACTGTAGAGGTCCTTTTTGTTTATGATTGCTCAAAACTGCATGAGGCATGTCTGTTACTGGAAACACATAACTACACAAGAGCATATAAACAGTGTATATATCGAATTGTGAATTCATCTGTTCTTTTTGTGTGATCTTTCTGCTCTTAAAGTTCTTAAGCAGGGTTTTAAGTGACGTGCAAATGGGTGTCTAGTATGCGTAAATGTAGAGAATGGACGCAGAAAGAGATTCACTGCATCCCGAAGGATGCACAATATTATTCATTGTACCCACAACACATCCATGACTTTTGTTGTTTCTTTCAGAGCAGTTACTTGCATCATTTGACCTATCAGTCCACATGATTCACTCCATACTGTAAAGAAATTGGGATGGGGGTAGCCCAGTGGTTAAAGTGGTCACTCGTCACATCGAAGACCTCGGTTCGATTCCCCACATGGGTACACTGTGTGAAGCCCTTTTTCTTTTTCACCCATGAAGGTCCGGGTTAGAATGAACCTTCAGTAGCCCATGCTTGTCGTAAGAGGCAACTAATGGGATAGGGTGGTCAGGCTCGCTGACTTGGTTGACACTGTCATCGGTTTCCCAATTGCGCAGATTGATGCTCATGTTGTTGATCACTGGGTAGTCTGGTCCAGACTAGATTATTACAGACCGCCGCCATATAGCTGGAATATTGCTGAGTGCGGCGGAAAACTAAACTCACTCACTCACTTTTTCTTTTTCTCACTCACTCGCACACTCACTCACTCACATCAGTCTGGACTCGCTCAACAAAACTTTGCCTCACATAATATAACCTTGACTGACACAACTCAGTTTTGCCTCACACAACTCAACCTTGACTGACATTTCAAACCTGACTCACTCAATGAAGCAATGGCTCACACAACTCAGTCTTGACTGGCATGACTCAACAATGTCTCACACTAATCACCATTGACTCACACAACACAACTCAACTTGCAACAAAAAAACCTTGACTTACTTTACAGCCTTCACTCACACAATAAGGTCTTCACCCACACAATGAAGCTTTGACTCACACAATAAAGCCTTGACTCACACAATAAAGTCTTGACTCACACAATAAAGCCTTGACTCACACAAAGTTTTGACTAACACAATAAAGCCTTGACTCACACAAAGTTTTGACTCGCACAATTAAGCCTTGACTCACACAGAGTTTTGACTCACACAATAAATCCTTGACTCACACAAAGTTTTGACTCACACTATAAACCCTTGACTCGCACAATAAGGTCTTGACTCACACACCACAACCTTGACTCACACAATAAAGGCTTGACTCACACACCACAACCTTGACTCACACAATAATGCCTAGTCTGTCTCACAGTCCCTGCAGTGCTAAATCCCCTAAATGAATCAAGTCTAGATTTTCCCAGGTTCTGAATCTCTGGTATGCCATGGGCTCCTTTTCAATTTAAATGGGTTTATTTGTTACAATCAAAATTTCACATTCAGAGACTAAGCATTAGTCTTAATAATTTCTTGACTCACACAATAAAGCCTTGACTCAAACAACAGAGACTTGCATCATGCCCTACACCCTGGACTCATACCCATGACTCTGTTTCAGGTGAAGCTAGCCTCCTACAGGAGAAATGGGAAACTGTTTATCCAGGAAGGAGGATGTGGGCAAGCTGCAGCCCTCCATCAACCAACTGAATGGCGGTAATCTAGATCACAGCAGTCCGCCAACCAGCCCTCAAGATGTCACTGTGGGCTTCAACAAGCGGGATCTCCCGCCGCTGCCACCTTCAAAAAGTGAGAAATGAATGCTGATTGCAATAATTTTATGTTAAAATGAACTTGATAACATTGTCCATGATGGATTTCCTGCAATAAGCACGTCATAATAACCTCAAAATTGTTTCAGAAATGTAATGTCCAGTCATTCTTGACCAAAAATCTTTAACCTTAGAAACCTTAAAAGTCACTTGAAATTGTTATGCTTGAATCCTTCAACTAATCAGAGTATGAAAAACGTATCATTTGTTTTGTCCAATTTACAGAGGTGTTCAAATTCCTGGCTATGTACGATTTTGACGGTATAAATGAGGATGACCTGTCTTTCAAGAAGGGAGATCGTCTGGAGATTGATGAAACCAGGTGAGTTACGAAAACAACTTACCTGAGACTTATCCATGTTATCTCCCTTTCCCTTTTACTTATCTTGTGTGGGGCGGTGGGGTAGCCTAGTGGTTAAGGTGTTCGCTCGTTACGCCGAAGACCCGGGTTCAATTCCCCACATGGGTACAATGTGTTAAGCCCATTTCTGGTGTCCCCCGCCGTGATATTGCTGGAATATTGCTAAAAGCGGCGTAAAACCAAACTCACTCACTCACTCACTCACTTATCTTGTGTATCTCATGAAGTAGCATCAATTACCAGTGGTTTACAGCACTACCATGCACCATATTGAGTTGTCTCCCTTAGACATGTGACTGATGTGCATGATCTCCCTTCTATTAGTCATCCCATGAATGCGTCATTTTCCATTTCAATAATGATTGGATCTAAATGACAAAATACATTCCACTAGATTCTGAATTGAATTGTTTTTAAGATATTCACAAAAGAAATTTGACGATATATTATGCTAGAAAATAGAAAGTGCCAATCAAGCAGATAATATATTATGCTTTGGGCAAGTTATTGTTGACATTTGACAATGGGAGGAAAATAACAATCCTTCCCAGTACCTCACTGTGCATTACCTCACTCGTTCACCCTTAACATTGATGTGGAGAAAGATTGAAATCATAAACTCAGTGATGTGTTCACATAACGTATGACATCAACTAATTTGTTAAGTATTGTTTCAGTCAGAACAGTGACTGGTGGATAGCTACCAGCGTGAAGACGGGGCATCAGGGCTACATCCCCAGCAACTATGTCTGCAAGGACGATGACTCACCACAGGCTCAAGAGTAAGTTATTCCATTTTGTGTATTTGATGCAATTTGTGTTGAAAATATATATTTTTCCTTATCCTGACTCATGATCTTTGCTTATCTCCGTCTTCTATGCGAATGTTAGTTGAACACTTGAATCCTTTGTAGCTCCCTAAAGCGGACGTAAAAGTACACTCACCCACGAGTTACCTCCCTTTTCCCGCACAAACAGTCATGTGAACAGCCTTACTTGTCACTCTCTCCCTTTTCGCCCACGCGGATGGTTGGGTGAGCACTGGAGTCCCATATACGGCATATCTTTTATATTGAGATCCTATTTATTGAAATTATTTGGCTATAACTAACATGTATTATATGTATAAACTGCCATAGTATGGCAGGAATATTGCTGATTGCAACAAACAAAACCATGTGATTTCAATCTTTTGTTTGCAGTTTTCAAATCCAAATACCCTGGTATATACATACATATAATTACTTTTGTAATACTTTCTTTTCATAAATATAACGGACAGCGTCAAACAGTGTTGGAGAACGCTGGGTACCCCTGAAGGATGGGAAAGCCACATTAACTTGGTGTGCCTAGTGTCTGCACGAGTTTTATGCTCTCTAGGGAGTTAAGATTTGAATTATGATGTGCTGTTGAGATTGACATGCAATGATCCCGAGGGGAAAAATTAAAGCGCTTTGAGCATGCATGTAGATTGGATGGACTACAGCGCTATATAAATACCCATATAATATAAGAATAATGTAATAACACCTACAGCTGGAAGTCTGTTTGTTGGAAAAACCAGTAGCAGCACAGTAGTGGTGAACTTCAGGAACAGGAAATGTAATTGGGTCTTGTTTAATTTCTTTAAAATGGTACCGGTATATTTCAGTGTTGTTTTTCTGCTTTTATAGTTGGTGGTTCAATTTTGACCGCAAAGACTCCGATAAGATGCTGCTTCTTCCGGGTAACAAGGTTGGCACATTCCTGGTCAGAGAGTCTACAGGTGAGGATTCACATAGAGTGTGTTTGCTGTGACAGATATTTGGGTGCCACTGTCAAGTTGTTGTACAAGTCACTGTTATAATTATGTATTAACACAGAGTAATTTGATTGAATATGGAGTAAGCATTTTTTGCTATAAAGCTGTACTTGAAGTAATTATTGAAGTTAAACTGTTTGTTTCTTGTGGTCAAGGTGTAGCCTAGTGTTTAAAGGGATCGTCAAGAATACTAAGTGATCTGCTTTTAGCAATATTCCAGCAATATCATGGCAGGGTGTGAGTATATGTATCGTCCCTGCTACGACACTATCTGACGAGGAAGGAACACCTCAAGTTAAACTGTTCGTTTCTAGTGAACATTGAGACCTTTTTTATGCTCGATTTGATTTTGTATGAGAAGCCATTTTCTGATTCCCCTGCTGTCTTATCGCTGAAATATGGCTGAAATATAATAAAATCATACTCACTCACTCTTTTGAACCACTGAGTTTGAAGGCGCAGTTATATGACATATAAAGTTGTTGGTTTGATGACACTATGAACCAAGTCGTTAATCCTGACTGCCTGATCCATTTGATCACCTCTTAAGTTACTGGGAACCTAGTCTTAACTTGAATCTTCACACTGTAGATTAAGTGAAACATAAGTTTGACACATTAGACTGATTTTTAACAAATCTGGAAATTTTGAAGATTTCTTGTGTGAAAGATTTTGAGAGTGAAACATGGCCATTTGTTTTTCTTCCTTCTTGACATGGTTACCACAATGCTAAAGGGAGGTAATCCCTTCTCAGGAGTGTCAGCCCAAAGAGGACATTCACAAACATGCTTGATCTGATAGATCACTACAGAAGTAAGTTGCAACCATTCCCATGCCCTTCCTTTATGTTAGTAATCTCTTCCTACGTAAGTCCCAAAACATTTCAAGTCAATTTAAGTGTGCCAGCTTTTTAATCGTAGTAGTATGTATTTTTAATGTATGGCTAAATCTCAGCATCAACGCCAATGGCTGAAGGTATGGTGTAAATCCAACAAGGGTCCATGCAGGTAGCAAAAGCAATGTAAGTCCCCATGGTCCCTGGTATGGTGATCTACCTTCAGTTGTTACGCATCTATAGCCTGTTTTTATATTGTGATGTGTATAGTGATATATTTTTATGATAGCGTGCTAGTTTTAAATTAAGAGCTTTGATATTCTAGTAGTTTTACTGTCCTTCACTGACAGGTTGTTATATTCTCAATTTATTGACTTTGATATTGATATCAATTAAATTGTTCTCGTCACGATATGGCTGAGATATTGCCGATGTGATGTTAAATTTTAACTCACTCACTCACTAATAGTAACTTACCACAATCTGATGCACAATCTGATGTTCTTACTTTAGCTATGAGTCCTACTGTTTGTGTTGGTCATGGGACATGTTTCAAATTCTGTTTAATTTTGATTGATATACTTATGCAGAATTAATGTTTTGTTTGAGTTTTTCTTGTGTCGAAAGCAAGACTGTTGTATGTCCGATCGTGTTTGGTCAGTTTTGTCAGTAGCAGCATTAGACATAAAGGAGAGAATTTGTGGATGTCAACTTCTTTATAGTGAGGAGCATGACGTTTCGGAGTATATTCACCTGATGAAGTAGTAAGAATATACTCTGACACGTTGCAATTCTCACAATAAAGAAGTTGACATCCATAAATTCTCGCCTTTATGTGTATCACGTCTAAAGGACGTTCAAAGACTTTATGAAGCATAAAGACAGACACTTGAACATTTTAATTTTTTTGCAGAATTTATTGATCCCCCATTTTAGGTATGGGTTAGAAAACACATTTGTAGGTGTGTAACATACTCTCAACACCCCTAGAGCTATGTTGATTGGTTGGTTTGTTGTTTAAGGATGCACTCAGCAATATTCTAGCTCTATGGCGGCGGCCTGTAAGTAATAAGAGCTGGAATATTGCTGAGTGCGGAGTAAAACTAAACTCGCTCACTCATTGTTCCCCATTTCCTCAGTACGTCATATTAGCCTTGACCCACGCTTGTATGCATTTTATGATTTTTGTTTGTTTGTTGTTTAACACTGCTATATGGGGACAGTATGTAAATAATTGGGTCTGGACCAGACAATCCAGTGATCAACAGCATGAGCGTTGATCTACACAACTGGGATACGATAACATGTGTCACCTTATGACAATCATGGGTTGCTGAAGATCTTCCGAATCTTCATGGATGCACATTATGAGGTGAAAACCGTCAACCAAGACAAAGTCTTTGAGGCAATTGGCTATTTCGTGACTTTGTTTCCTGTTTCCTCAGTACGTCAGTAGTTTCTTGATTGATGACTTTCAGAAAGCACCGATGGGCTGTGCACAGTGCTAGCAGAGGCTTGTCCAAGGATCCGACCAATTGTTCATTTCCGGGAGCTGGAAGTTACCCGAGATTCACTAAAAATGACTATCAAGCTTGGAGCTGGCTGTTTCGGCGAAGTATGGAAGGGTAGGTGTTACAGGGTTTGAAGTCAGGAGCTTGCTTTGTTGCAACTATTACACATTGTGTGTAAATATCATGAGCCACATAGGTAGTGATCTAACCCTGTTTAACATAGTATATGCATTGGAGTTGTATGTGTGAGTCTATCAATTGGAGTTTTCATGTGGTTACTTAATGGAGTGCTTTCCATTTCAGAATTCTCCCTTTATTCATTTAGATTGTGATTAATTGCAACCTGAATGCACCAGTGGCACAATTGTATGGCCTGTATTGAACTCTACTTCATTGTCCATCAACTGTCATTTCGTCACTTAGTTGTTCAGTTTATTAAACACACATTTGTGCAAGGAAAGTTGATAATTATCAACTAATATTCAATAACTTCAAGAAATACCTGTTTTTGTATGTCACGATAATGAATTTACCCTTTGATTGTATAGATGCTGCAGCCCAGTAGCTAATGTGTTTGCTCGATATGTAGGAGACATGGGTTTGAATCCTGAAACAATTCAAACATAACATATCAATAAAGAAAGTCACCAACAGGAACATACCTCTTTGTTTCAGGTAAACTCCGGAATGTGATCGATGTGGCTGTGAAGACCCTAAAACCAGGCACCATGACCACGGAAGCCTTCTTGGCAGAGGCGAAGATCATGCACCAGCTGCGTCACAGGAAGCTGGTCCAGCTGATAGCTGTCTGTACAGATGAGGAGCCCATTCTCATCATGACAGAGCTGATGACAAACGGCGCCCTACTGGACTACATCAGGAAGGATGAGGGCCAGCGGATCCGCTTCCCCACCATCATTGACATGGCATCACAGGTGGGAGGAAGTAACGATCTACACAAGTAGCTTTACCCCTAAACCTAGTTATCTTACATTATTACCTTTTTATCCCCCGCCACGTGTTTAGCGTGAATCGGGGGGATATAGTATTAGGCTCCGTCCGTCCGTACGAATTGCAGTATCTTAAGAACAGTTGACTGGATTCTTTCATATTTGGTATCTAGGTTCATCATAATAAAAGAAAGGTCCCAGTCAGGTTTGGTGACCTTGACCTTCATTTCAAGGTCACAAGGGGACTTTAACGTTTTACCCTTGTCAGCAAGATATCTCAAGAACCGTTTACTGGATTTTCTTGATATTCAACACCAAGCTTTATCTAGGGCAGGCGCAGGGCCGAGTTGATTTTGGTGACCTTCACTTAAGTTTCAAGGTCACGTGACACTTCAGCACTTTGAAGATTTCAGCATGTTAAACTGCATGTTAAGATGGTCAGCGAGATATCTTAAGAACAGTTCACTGCATTTTCTTCATAGACTTTCAAGACTTCTCTTGAATGTTTTTCAATAAGCAATTTCTTTATTACTATTTTTGCATATTTCATACACTAAGACATTCATGTCAAGGTCAAAGTGAGTCTTGAAAATATTTGTGCGTTTGAACAACTACAGAGCAAGATATCAAGAAAGGTTGACTGGTCATGTTTTTGTTTACATTTAACTTCATCTTAAATTACGACCTTCACTTTCATTACTTTTTAAGTTTGATTTGATAATTTGCGGCGGGGGATTATGTCACCTTAGTGACAATGCTTGTTAATATAAACTGTTGACTAATTGGGTCTGCCCAGTGGTGCCTGGACGTATTTAAGTAATTGGTTTTTGGAATAATGACACCGTGTCTTTTTGTTTGTGCAACATACTCACATGTGTCCTCGTCTGATGCATTGTTCCATTGTTTGGATCTGTTCTCACAGTAGGACACACAAAACATCAGTTGAATGATGGTGTAATACTGAACAGCAAGCACTGGAAGGCATTTCTGCATAAATGTTTACAATACCATCATAGCTTGCTGAAATATGACAAAGTCATGCCAAGGATTTTGAAGCCCTTGTCTGCCAATGGAAAGCCGACTTATTGTTTAACTGTTTTATATAATATTATTGGGTAGACTCTCATTTCCAGTGCAAATGTTACTTCCCAGAATCATGCCAATCAATGACTATCGGTTAGAATCTGTCTAAAAACATCAGTACCCTGTTTCAATTCAGGCTTTTATGGTATGTCACATAATATAACTGAAATACTGTTCACTGCTGCATCCTACCAAACTTGCTGGTATATGATTCCGTTGTGCAAATTTTCATTTTAATAATGACCGCCTCCGTGGTGTAGTGGTTAGAGCGTCCGCCCGGAGAGCAGAAGGTCGCGAGTTCGATCCCCGACCGCGTCATACCAAAAGATGTTAAAATATGGTACTTGTTGGTCCCTGCCTGGCTCTCGGCATTAATGGGTACAACAAGGACTGGTCGGCTCGGAGTCAGTATAATGTGTCTGAGTGGGGTATTCATGCTTCACTGCGGCATGGTATCTCAGTGGGCTAGCACTATAAAACCAGCTTAAGTCTGGGCTAGTACAAGCAGCCGCACATACACATACACACGCATGCATGCACGTCGTCATATGAGCGAAATATTCTCAAGCATGACGTTAAACCCAATTTCACCTCACCTCACCTCACCTCATTTTAATAATGCCATTCTCTTGTTTGTTGATCAGATTGCAGAGGGCATGGCCTTCTTGGAAGCTGAGAACTTTGTTCACCGTGATCTCCGTGCAGCCAATATCCTTGTCGGTGAACACCATGATGTCAAGGTTGCCGACTTCGGTCTGGCGAGAATTCTGCAAGATGAGGATATTTATGAAGCCACAGAAAGTAAGTAGGCAATACAAGCATTGTTATAATATACATTCAATTTCATAGTGCAGTTTTGAGGATGCTTTTGATGAGGACTTACTGACAGATTCATTTTAGTAACTCAATCTGGAATTTTCACCAGCATCCTTAAGGTAAACACTTAGTGACATTACATATTCTTAATTTATTATCACTAAGTGAGTGAGTGAGTTTAGTTATATGCCACACTCAGCAATACTCCAGCTATATGTAAATAATCGAGTCTGGACCAGACAATCCAGCATTGATCTATGCAATTGGGATACAATGACATGTGTCAACAAAGTCAGCGAGCCTGACCACCTGATCTCGTTAGTAGCCTCTTACGACAAGCATGGGTTACTGAAGCTCAATTCCATAACCCATGATTATCACTAAGTTAGGAGGGCATATGAAGATTTGGTGACATGTTTTACAGATACGAAATTCCCCATCAAGTGGACAGCTCCTGAGGCAGCTCTGGAAAGGAAGTTCTCTGTCAAGTCCGACGTCTGGTCATTCGGCGTTCTGCTGTACGAGCTGGTTACCTTCGGGAGAGTTCCCTACCCTGGTGAGTGTTCTGTTAGTTCACCTATCAGGCCCAAGTAGAAGTGCGCAGTCTGTCCTCACAGTTCACCCAAGATGTCTGAGTAGAAATATGTAGTGCGCAGTCTGTCCTCACAGTTCACCCAAGACGTCTGAGTAGAAATATGTAGTGCGCAGTCTGTCCTCACAGTTCACCCAAGACGCCTTGAGTAGAAATATGTAAAGTAGTCTGTCTGTCCTCACAGTTCACCCAAGACGTCTGAGTAGAAATATGTAGTGCGAATTCTGTCCTCACAGTTCACCAAGATGTCTGAGAGTAGAAATATGTGAGTCGCAGTCTGTCCTCACAGTTCACCCAAGACTTCTGAGTAGAAATATGTAGTGCGCCAGTCTGTCCTCACAGTTCACCCAAGATGTCTGAGTAGAAATATGAAAGTCGCCAGTCCCTCTCAGTTCACCCAAGACGCCTGAGTAGAAATATGTAGTGCGCAGTCTGTCCTCACAGTTCACCCAAGACGTCTGAGTAGAAATATGTAGTGCGCAGTCTGTCCTCTCAGTTCACCCAAGACGTCTGAGTAGAAATATGTAGTGCGCAGTCTGTCCTCTCAGTTCACCCAAGACGTCTGAGTAGAAATATGTAGTGCGCAGTCTGTCCTCTCAGTTCACCCAAGACGTCTGAGTAGAAATATGTAGTCGATGTCTGTCCCCAGTTCACCCAAGACGTCTGAGTAGAAATATGTAGTGCGCAGTCCGTCCTCTCAGTTCACCCAAGACGTCTGAGTGGAAATATGTAGTGCGCAGTCCGTCCTCACAGTTCACCAAACAGCAGCAGTTTGTATCATGCCTGTGTCGTCAGTTGTCTGTGGTGGCTTTTCCTTCAGACAATAGGTACACTTCCTCGGACTCCATCCCAGCAGACTACTGCTTTTGAGTCTGGATGTGTTTTGTAATCATGTGACTGTGAAAATGTTAACATGTGGCTTTTTGAATGTAGGGCTGATTCCACTAGACATTTAAACTGATGCGACCTTCCATAACCCATGGGAAGAGCTATATACTATCTTGGCCATCTCTTAATCCAACAATTTGTTTGGTACAGTTTTCTGATTTTGAATAGAGAACTTTGTCAAAATATTTTTCAAAGGGTAGCCAAGAATGTAAGTTGCCATAAGACCTGAAAAAAGCTGATTTCTGATTGGCTGAATGTTAAAAAAGGCATTTCATTGGTCAGTCAAGGCCATTCTGACTGACCTGTAGTGGAATGCCCTCAGTTGTTTGTGTAGCCCAGGCAGTGCTAAGATCTGATAGTAATGAGACTGCATGAATATAGTACTGATGACTTTCCTAGGTATACTAGCACTACAAGTGTGTGTCTGTTATAGGTATGGGAGGCTCAGAGGTGCTGCACAAGGTGGACAAAGGCTACCGTATGCCCAAACCCACCGGACCAATCAGCTACACAGAGTCCTACTACGACCACATGCTCAAGTGCTGGAACAGAAAACCCGAGGATCGACCGACTTTCGCCTACCTGCATGACTTTTTCGATGACTACTTTATAGCCACGGAACCTGACTACAGAGATACAGAAGACATGTGATGTCACCCTGTCACCCCTCAAAGAAACAATAGACTAGGCCAGCAGGAATCTTGCTGCATAATACATGACTGTAGAGGAATGCCATCTATGATTTGATTGGTGCATGCAGATATATTTGTAACCAATGATACGCTTAATCAGATGCTGCAGTGCAGCCACATTCGATGCAATCACCCATGGCAGACAACGTAAACCACATCTGCCATGTTAGATTTCCCCCATATCATATTCATTGTTTTAGAATTTTTGTGTGTTTATTATTCAAATTGTACAGTTTAAATTTTATGAAATATTTTTTATCACTTGTATATATTTAGAGTCAATTTTATGAACAGATATAGAGTTTTATATACGATCATACAAAGTATGATATCTGGCTTCGGCCCACCTCTTCATGGACCAAGGTACTATTTTTGATTTTTTTTCTTTCTTTGGTATCACCTTAATGGTATTTTGGTATATCCAAAATAACAGCAGATGATATATTCAGAGAACTAGATGACACCCTGATCAGAAAGTACAGTGTTGACTGAGAACAGAAACTACCTGGTAGTTGAAGGAGGGAGATAAGTCAGTAGGTGATTGTAGTTATCTCCCTTTGCTGTAATCACTGCACAAATGACAGTAGTGTTCAGAAAGGGTAGAACAAGTGCCTTTCTTTATTGCTAGTAATAGTTACATCATTGTTGTCATTTCATTCAGCCCTCTGATAACTTCATAACATAATGTGTCCTGGGTACCTCACTATGCTCAATGGCTTCTGACCCAGAGCCATGAACATCAGACTTCTCTCCCACAGCTTCAGATTAACATGGTGAGGAATGCTTTGGATAATGTTCAATCATGTATATTTTTTGTCTCTCATTTTTGTGTTCCTTTACTTTTCATTGTTGTAGCAGAGTGAGTACATTTATGAAAATGCATAACTTTCACCGTTTTTTAACATCTCCCAAGTTTGATATCAGATCTAGTTGTAAGATGATAGTACATGATTCAAGATCATTTTCATATATTGGATACGTTTTTGTCAGATGATAAGTTACAGTTACACATGATAAAGACATTATAGGAAGTTGTTCTGCGATATGTACATAGAAGTGTTAATTGTTGACAATTGTTTTGATCATTCTGACAACTGTAATTTACTATAAGTTCAAAATGTGAAAGTGTACTGGCTGTGCAATGGTCTTGATTAAGCTGCTCATTCTGTCAGTTCATCCGCTGAAGTCATGTGCTAGCTGCTGGCACAGTAGATAGAATGTTTGTTGACAACAGATTCTGGTATCGCCCCACTTGGGTTCAACAGTGAGTTCTTGTTGTCATCAGCCATGACAGTATGCCAGTGCTAAACGCAGCAGAAGACCATTCTTATCTGTATGCAGTGTTCAAAGCGAGCATCTTCTCATAATCCAATGGTAGGTAGATTTCTTGTCAGGTTGGGTACAATGTGTGAAGCCCATTTCTGGTGTCCCTCACCGTGATGTTGCTGGAATATTGCTAAAAGCGGGGTAAAACCAAACTCAGTCAGTCAGTCTTGTCAGGTAGTCTCAAAGTTGTTTGGATCCATATGGTCTGCAGCAAACATACATGTAGATTTATTTGTCACAATCAGCGGCATTTTTAACAAAAAATGAGGGTATTAAAAGTTTGGTTAGGGCCTACAGTCTAATGTCTGTGGGTCCCGCGATGGCATTCTTGCACTTTTTCTTTATTTCAAACATTGGCAGTATGCCTTTCCAATGATTTTCTGTTACCATGTCATCCATCTTAGCCAAGGTTATGAGAGGTTCCACAATTCTGTATTTTTCAGTTGGTTTACAAACGGTTTGTGTGTAACAAGGGTTTTGGGCTATGTGAGAAGTCTTAAAAAAACAAATTACAATGTGTCAACTCCCTGATTACTGCTGCAGCTAATGAATAAGAAACAAACCAATTTTAGTGTGGCAAGGTAGTATAATTGATTTTGTTTGTTACAGTACAAGATTGTATGCATGTTATTCACTGTTGCTTACACTGTTAATGAAATCTCTTACTATTTCCATTTCACACATTGATTAAACGAGTCATAAATACTATTAATTCAGTAGTCACTTTTTCTCCAATTTCAGTGATGTTGAGATCTGTTGGTCTTGTCAATGTGTAGCCAAGTTGAAAATGTTCATTCCAGGAGCATCCAAGAAAGTTCATTCCTAAATTTTAAGGGATCTATTTGTTTCTTACATTCTGAGGTCTGCCATAACCATTTCATAATCTCTCACCTTATCACTAGAGGTTATGGGGAGCAGTGATTTTCATATTTATCCATTCCAAGGTGAAAGCGATGTAGGATGTAGATTTAGTTACAGATCAACATAAGTTTTAACTAGTTATCTCAGATGCTTTACGTAACACTTGCTTAAGATTTGTTCATTCTGGTGTTGCCCGCTGTGATGTTGCTGGAATATTACTAAAAGCAAAGATAGAACCTCAACTCAATCACTCACACTTTAAGTTTTGTTATTTCCACTGGAAGAATTGTATTATGTAAATTTGAATGAATCAACTCATGAATTGGTTAAGATTTATTTTGGAATTTTATTTAGTATCCAATATGTTTATGGTGGTATAAGCGTCAAGACAAGTGTGCTCACTGTGTGAATTCACACACCGAACTTCAATAAAGTATACAAGCAGGTGTTAAGATACCATAAGTACTTAACTTATTTCTAAGTAAATTCTGATAAATAGTTATGCTAATAATATGATATCTTCACAGGCTGGTTATGTCATCATTGATAAAAAAAGCTGTCTCTGGGAGACATGCAAGAAATCGTTTAGGTTCCATGCAAATGAAATTGCTTTCAAGTTATTTGTTTGTACTTGGAAGTGTGTAGGTCACGGTGCCCTGAGGGAGTTGATTGGTGCTCATATTATCTGTCACTAGTTTGCCTTGATGACATTATGTACTGTTATCTTATAACTTGAATAATGCCGACATCAGCACAAAACAAACTTGTTGACTGCTTATTCATCAAACTCAATGAAATCAAACTTTGTCACAGCAAAATTGTATCCCATTCTTCCAACAATATAATTGTACCTACTTGTTTACTTCCTTAATATTGGTACGCTGAAGACCCAGGTTCGAATCCCCACATGGGCACAATGTGTGAAGCCCATTTTTGGTGTCCCCCACCGTGATGCTGCTGGAATATTGCTAAAAGTGGCTTAAAACCAAACTCAGTCAGTCAGTCAGTCAGTCTTAATATTGGTAGTATTTGACGCAAGGTCTTTCTCATGATGAGAAATGTGATGGTATCATCACTTTGACGACATGTTGATGTGTAATGTACCCTGCAGCCGACTTCTCTTTCAAACGGTTAGTGACAATGTTTTAGATCTCTACATCTAAATATGGCTACATTCCATACCACATACAAGAGGGCTTCAATATTATTCAAACTAACCTTTTGCATAGTATAGTCTGTTTTTATCTGAAATCTATATTTTTCTTGTGGTTTTGTTTAATTGTCAATTTTCTGATATTTTGTCCACATTTATCAAGTGCAGGTCACAAGACAATATGTATGGCAAGTGGGTTTCCATAAACAATATGTTCCTTTTTGACTTTTGTATTCAATTTAGACATAATATATATCTTGAGTTTTTTGCCAAATATGTATATTATGAGCCATATGCAAAAAATAGAATTGTTTTAGTGAAGATCAAATAAAATTAGTTTGATAGGTTGATCTTCATGTGATTTCTGTAAGTGCCTTTGAATGATGCTTTTCTTGCAGTTAGTATTTCGTATAAACCCTGTGGTGCATCTTGGAATCGGAACTAACTGCAAAGTGCAATAACAAACTACCGGTACATCAAATAGAGACTTAATATGATATCCTTCAAATAGTGACAGTATGATATCCTGCAAATTGTGACTCATTATGATATCCTACAAGCAGTGACTCATTATGATATCCAGTGCCTTTCTTTAACATGAGGGGTTGTGTCAAAAGTTCAGGGTCGATGAGGTATCCCAGTGGTTAAAGTGGTGAAATTTTCGAACAATACTGTCACCATGGCAACCACTCTTTGCATAATGTGGTTAGACTGCTCAGTTTTAGAAACAAACCCAAAAATTTAAAATGTATACAATTGTACCAGCTTGCCTGTAACAAAACAGGAACTTTTAATATCATGTGTAATCTCTTGACACAACCCCCCAGTTGTGGAGGATGTTTGGTTTGTATGTGATAAAATATGTATTGCACAAATAACATAAATATAATGTTTTCCTTTGATTTATCATTATATTTAATTGTTATGTTGAAATAGTTCATGGAAGAAAAATGATTTGGTAAGTCAGAAACAGCTGGTGAAACCAGAAAATGGCAATAGATAGGCTAAATTATTTGTTTTTCATAATCATTTCCACATATAGTTGAAAATTATGGTTGAAAATTATGCTCTGATGGCCACAATAAGGCTGTCACAGTGTTTGAATGCTTCTGTTTGTTTTCTATCAATCTGCCCGTCCTTGCATATATCTATAACACTCACATAATCAGTATTTGCCAACTTCGTAATAGTCAGGATAGTTTTCAATACCATTAGTAATATATACATGTATCCTGTGTAAGTCAAAACTTCTGTTTTTCATGGTAATGTTGATTGGTCATCCCAGTGTTTTAGTCAGTCAGTGGTATGACTAGCAAAAGGGTTCTGGTTCACTGGCCATGTTAGTAGGATCTTTTTATGTCCTGTTACCATGACAACAGGGTCCCAAGATCCTGCTGTGGGTGAGGAAGTGTATTAGTCAGTATGCACTCATCCTGTATCTCTCTAATATTCAGTTTTTCCAAGTATGATTTTTGTTTTACAAATGACAATGCAACTGTAACATCTCTTGTCCGACCACTTCCTGTTCTTGTGTACACTTAAGAGCTCTTCTTTCTTTAAATAGAAACAATTGTAAAATTTGTCATGTTTTACATACTTTTGACAAAAGAAGGAGCACAATTGGCTGGCATTGGTTGAATGTCCACATATTGTCATATTCAGCCTGAGGAAACTATCAGTGAAATAATGTTAACTAGGCTTTAGGTAGTTCACCTTAAAAAGGGGGAATATTGTTTTCCAAAACATCTATTTTTTCAATACTCTTGACAATTAAAGAGACAATTCTTTGTCTGTTTTGATGTGTATATTTTCCTACATTTAAATATATGTTTTGGAAGTTGTATAGACTAATCCTTTCTTAAAACTGTTTTAGACTATTTTAAACCAACTTTTATGAAGTGTTGTATAATTTGTGTGAAACAACAAGCTTGTGTAATGCATATTTTAGGTTGTTTATACTGTTTTGCTACAAGATTGTATTTCAATTACTTGTTTAGCATCTTTTAGACTGTCATTCATGCTTTGTAAATAAACTTGAGAAATATGCAACTTGTTTACTTGTATATAGTCAGTGTTAGTGTCAGACAGACTTCAGGTTTGTTGTGTGCATGTCTAGGGTGGGAAGTGATGTGATGTGATGTGGTGTGTTTTGGTGTGATGTGTTGGTTTGGTGTGATGTGGGGATATGCTGTGGTGTTTGGGTCTGGGGGTGATGTGTTGTGGGGTGTTGTGTGGTTTAGGGGTGATATGATTGGTGTGGGTTGGTGTATTGTAGGGATGGTGTGAGTATGGGTTTGGTGTTCACATTTCACAACTTTTGAGATACAATCTAGTATGCTCTTTTTATCAAGATTTCAAAGAGCGTCATGCCAGTCGTGCTCAGAAGTTGTTCACTACTGATCAAGGTGACAACATTCAAGGCCACAGTAAAGCTTCCAAAAGATTTTATGGTAGACATGTGGAAATTTCCAAATCTAATACATCAGTGACAAAAATGATGTCCGATGGAATTCCCTATTCTGACTTATACCATACGTTCCCGAATTATTTCAGGTGAACAATTGACTAGACTTTGCATGTGTTTATGACATGCGCCACCTGTGGGGCAGGATACGCTCACCTTTTTGTGAACCCTTGATATCATCACTATTTCATAGTGATTCATAAACACTTGCTCTGTCATCGTATTGCATGGCGACAATCAATGGATTGTCTGGTCCAAACTCATTTGTTTACAAACAAATATATACTCATGATATAGTCACAATTGGACAATCGACTCTGCTTTTTGCAGAATATTTCATATGAAGGTGGAAATGGTCTTGTCGCTTCTATTCTATTGATTGGGGTATTGACTATAAAGTTAAACAAACACATCATGACACAGTAGCTGTAGTTCTCTACATGCCCACAACAAGAAATGTCCTGGTGTCTCCTGGATGGTATTACTGGAGGCCCTTTTGCTGGTGTCTCCACAATGGCATTACTGGGGGCCCTTTTGCTGGTGTCTCCTGGATGGTGTTACTGGAGGCCCTTTTGCTGGTGTCTCCTTAGTGGTATTACTGGAGGCCCTTTTGCTGGTGTCTCCTGGATGGTGTTACTGGAGGCCCTTTTGCTGGTGTTTCCTGAATGGATGGTATTACTGGAAGCCCTTTTGCTGGTGTCTCCTGGTTGGTGTTACTGGAAGCCCTTTTGCTGGTGTTTCCTCAATGGTACGTATTACTGGAGGCCCTTTTTGCT